ACCGAATTGGACGTCAGGAATCACATGGTGATTTGACGAAAAATTCTCAAGGTGACGATAAATCACCTTTTCGGCGAGCTTAGAAGGAGCTGACAGCAGACTTATGGGACGGTAATCCTGAGGAAATATCGAACCCACCTTCTTTGGAATCATGATGACCTCAGCAGTCTTCCACCCAGCAGGGAAGTACTGGATTTTGAGCGTCGCACTGATTATTGTCACCAAGTATGTCAGGGCTTTCGGCGAGAGCAGCTTCAACGCCTTGTTGGTGATTTGATCCTCCCCAGGTGCTTTACGCACCTTGAGGTCTTTAATATGACTTAGTAACTCCGCTGATGTGCAATGTGGAAACTCGGAGGGTTTCGCCAATGAGCTATGTGGAGCCTCAGACGAATCTTCTGAAGAAGAGTCATCTGAAGAGGATTCAGTGCCTCCGCTAACGCCGTTGGCCCTAAAATATCACCTGACGGATCGTACGATGTGCTGTTCCTCGTCGAGGTCATTATCGAGATCATAGTTGGGAGAGAACTGTTTTTCCATGGCATCAGCGAAAACCTCGACCTTATCCTCCGTTCTGAAGACTATGCCTTCAGGACCGTGGATGTGTGGGAGTTGTTCTCGCTTTCCGTTTCTGAGTGACTTTGCGACCCTCCAGAGAGGAATACTTGAATCAAGCATTCCCGCCAGAAAGTCGCTCCATTGCTCGTTGCGGAGTTCGTGCAGTGCGTTTCTCACTTCATGGACAAGATTTGTAGCCCTACGAATGTCATCAGGATGACAAGACCTTTTTGCCTGCTTAATAGCGGCTCTTTTGTCAGAGATTTTCTGACGAATGTCCGCAGGCAAAAAAGGTCTGCCGTGTCGTTGTACAGGAAATACAGCTGCACGCTGTAGAGCTGCTTGAATGAAACTTGTCCACTCCGCTTGAGCGGCATCTATTCCAGACTCATCATCTATAATCGGGATATTGGGAAACTCTCTAAGGAGCAACTTGTATAGGTCCCAATCAATGCGTTTCCTTGGAGGAGCTGCCTCCTCAGAAGTTTGCTCATTGCCCACATCCAAGACAACAGGTAGATGGTCACTAGAGATATCATACAAGATTCGAGAAGAGATACTGTATCTACAGTTTTTAGATATCGCGAAATCGATGACATCTGGTGCCTGAAGATGGTTGAATGGATGATGTGTCGGCTCTTCAGTGCTATGTATAAGGTACCCATTTCGCATCACATGGTTGTACAATCGAACCCCACTAGTGGAATTCAACCTAGAATTCCATGCTCGATGTTTGCAGTTGAAGTCCCCTGCCACAATAAGCGGACCCGAGTAGTCCAAAAGGACCTCCAGATCCGCCTCTTGTAGCCTGGCACCACACCTGACATACACCGATGTGATCTTCAACGAGACACCTCCCGCCATATTGACCACCACAGAAGCTGCTTCGATGCTATGCATCTCCGCATTAGTGCTTCTATAATAGTCTATACCGCGTTTAATCAACACTGCTAAACCGCCGCCTCGACCATTCAATCTGTCACCTCGGGAGAGCTAAACGATCTCCCGGATTAAGCAACGTTTCCTGCAGCAAGGCCACATCTATACCTTCATCCAAAAGAGCTTGATGAAATTCCCGTTTTTTGGGAATATCCCTCATGCCCAAACAATTCCAAAAAAGAATTTTGATGAATGCAGGCTGTCTACTATTGTACCTAGACATTTACAGGAAATATCGCCTGCAACGCTTGGGTAGCGCTAATCAGTGGGCTTATTATTTGTTGTAAGGACCTTAGCGCGGTTGCCAGGTCCACATTTTGCGTGCTCAAGGGAGGTTGGGCAGAGGGGGCAGGCAAGGTTGCCTCCCGAGCTGCGTCCGCGTATGATATATTGCGCCTTTGCGCTATAACTTGCAAGTTCCTCCTTGGAGTGAACTTGCAAGTCCGGCTATTTGCGGGATGTCCCTCTCCACAGTTCGCGCACTTGCGTTCTTCCTCTTCTGTGAGGGGGCACAAATGCGTCATGTGGTCCTTTGCACATTTTAAGCATTTGGGCGGTGCAGTGCAATATGACTGCGCATGCCCATACTTTTGGCAGCGGTGACACTGCCCAATGAGTCTGGAGTTCTTCTGAACCTCAACTCGAATGGCCAGTCCCAGCAGTTCGTGTTCGTTCTGCTCCAGTTCTCCCGTAATCTCAGTATCCGAAAAGTTGACGGGAACTCCTAGACCACCGCATGGATGTTCCGTTCCGAAGGGAGAGGAAAAGTGTGATGGGGCGCTTCTTCCTCTGGAATAGGCGAACGATCTTACGGTAGTCGTCCTCGGATTTAGGAATAATCCTTATTCCCGCATCGACGGCAACCGCGCGATCTATTTTAATACCTAGGGAAATAAACTTGAAATTTAAAGTACGCCATCTCGTCCCGTCGCGTAAAACGATCGGGGTTATGCGCCCTTGTCGTGAGGGTTGTTGTTGATGCCACGACGGCTGGACGAGATGACGGAGGAGAAGTAAGATCGGCTGACGGAGTCACGTGACAGGTAGATAACGTGGTCCTGGCTTGGTAATAGAAGCATTAATAGTGTTTCGATTTGATGAATTGGGGGAGGTGTGAAATGGAATTGATCCTGTATTCGGAAGAGGAGGAAAGTCTTGGGTTGATCGATCAGCCTTGTCGCCTTTCCTCCTTCTTGATTTTGCTTTTACAAATCCTTCAGTCTGTACGTCTTCGTCTGTGGATGTGAGATGATCATCAGAACGTTTCTCAGTGGTCTTTTTAGGGTCTTTGTCCGTTCTTTAGGGATTCTTTTGAATTTAGTAATATGGTTACCTGGGCGGTAAGGCTGTCAATTTGGCTGTCTGGTCCTTGATGGTCTCCATTAGGTCTCGAATCTGCCTCGCCTGGTCGTCTATAATCAGCATCAGTTTTTCGATCGTTTTCTGCTCCGATGACATCTGCGTCAGTGAGCTCATGTTTTCTGCTTCTGCTTGGTTTCCACCACCGCTCAGCTCTTTCCTCATAGTATGTGGAACTGCGTCGTCTGTTGATCCTCCTGGTCAACTTCCATCTTTTAAAAACTTTTTCTCGCCAACAAATCTCAGAAAACTTAGCTCGCAAATGTGACAATGTTGTCAACACCCTTTACAGGGCGTTTTCGCCGAAATCATGTGCGACGTTTAAATCGGTGTATTCAGGTTGGAGGCAGACATTTTGAACAATTGTTGTGATGATATCATGTACAAAAGGCAAAATTAAATGCATTAAATCCTATTTAGGCAAGTCATCGTCTTTCTAAATTTTAACGCGCCTTAAGGCCGTAGTGCCGTAGTGACACTTTTCCGGATATGGGTCCCTATACTCAAATGTTTTCTACTGTTACACTGAATAAGCCCTCGAAGTTTGATCCCTTAGTTCTGAAATACCCGTATACAGGACGAGGAGTGATAAAACAAATGGATTATATTAACTTCCCACGCATTGACGTAACTCTTTTTGAAAAACATTCAAGAATTAATTTTGGGGTTTTTTAATAAAGACTCGGGTCTAAAAGTGGGGTTTTCAGCCCTGAAAAATTCGGGTTGTCGTGTAAAAACCCACAGTTCACAATTTTGGCATATTTGTCAAAAATTCACCCAGTTTCGAATTTAACTCATTAGTTTTATAAGAGCACATGGGAGATCTAAATAAAACACACTGACTAAAATACATATTATATGAAATTAAAAGTGTTGCTCCACTGCATTCACAGTAAAATCCAAAGTTTAACTACAAGTATTGTGTCTATTTCATTACGCATGTATTATATATGACTATTATCTATGAGATGCGTAGCATTACCGGGATCAGAAGCTTCTCATAATAAAACGAATTTTACTCAAACCAAAGTTGAAATATTCACAAAAAAAAAGAAAGTAAGTTTGAGCGACAATTTTTTATTTTTTTGGCCGTAACTCCCCGCCACTGGATGGATTTTCATAACCTCTAGAGCCTTTTGACCTTGGCATAGAAGTCACCTTGTGTTTAAATTCATCAAAATCCGAGCATTATGACGTTACAGATGGGCTAAGTGTCAGTCTGTCAGGAACAGACAGACCGATAGAAAATGAGAGACATGGTTTTTCGTGGTGTCCATGTCATGTAACATAAAAAAAACATCTAATTTCCTAAATTTCTAGCAATTACATTACCGCCTCGCCAATTGACGTGAGAGGAAAAAGAAAGGCAAAATATAAGAGCAGAATATTAACTAAAATGAATATTATTACTACTCTTAAAAAAATGGCGTCTATTAGTTGACTTTACACTTCTCACGCAACGTCATCAATTCATAAAGTTTGATCGTACGAGAAAAAAGTGAATTGCGAACATGCATAATGGAGAAATTAAACAGATCAAATCCGTCAAACAGGCCCATGCAATTAGTTCATAGACATCATTTCTCTGTCCTGCCAGTAGTACCGTCCCATCTGGCAACGTCACCTCTCTTTGTACGTCCTTTCCAATTTATAGACAAGCTAAGGATTAACAGACAGACTATAAAATGAGTGACAGTTTTTCATGATGTACATGTCATATAAGATTCGAAAAATATGTCTCATTTTCAAAAAAATTCGGGATTACAAATAGGCTAAATCGACGTAATATGACCATAGAGGAGAGATATGACCCAACTCGATATTTTCCTAACTAGTTATTAGAGAGCGTTTGTTCCAATATGGCGTAACGTACTGTTGTGTGATTGTGCTATACTAGAAACGATGGGTTAATTAACTAAGTTTAAAGGTAAGTTATTTTGAAACTACTTTTTACGTGGGTTCAATAGTTTTTGAATAGACAATTTTCCACTAGCCTAATTCTATAAAATTTTATTAGTCTTCAACAATATGTCTGATTTTTATTTTACCATGTATTGCGTGGTGTTTTTTATGTTGCCTAAGCGTTTTACCCGAATTAACGTATATAAAATCTAAATCATGGTATCGCCATCTTTCCTCAATTCCCCAGATAAGATGGCTATTTGTATTTATTTAGATGCCAAATATTTACAAAAGAAAATCATTGTAAGGGCCAAATGGACCCAGGAGCAACTGAAATCTGCAGTGAGTACTGTTAAATATAGTCGAAATCACGAAAGATGACGATTACGTCATCATCTTAGTCTGCAGAAAAGACAAACCTCAACGATTTGTGAATATTTTTAATGAAGTTTCACAATATTAGACAGAGACAAACAGAATTTTTTGTCTAAACAAACTGTATTGCTAATTTTGCACGTATCCGACAAAGATAGACGATGTTTTTCATGTTGCATGATCGATCATATTTGAAAGATGAATAGTTAGGTTATGTTAAATCAGGTTAGGTTGTTTTCGAATAATACTGTCTTTGGTGTTAATGCCTTAAGATGTATTCTACTCATAACTGGTTTTTTTAACAAAAACTCCCCACTAAAACTATTATTAAGGTATCACTTGAAACCATGAAATGAAATGAAAATAGATAGTGAAATAACCTAACTTCGCAAAATCATAATATAAATTCATGACTTCCTGATTTTATCATCGACGTACGTCCATTGATTACTTTAGCGCAATGACGTAATAATCATCTTTCGTGATTTTGACTATATGAGGGATATCTGTACGTTGGCTGGAAAAACTTTATACCGAGAAAACATTGGAAAGGCGAATTAAACAGAATGAAGATCATAAGAAAAAATTGGGTCCAGACACTACTTTTGGGGCTGCACATGAAAACACTGGTTCGACATAAGAAAGAAATGCACCGTACGTACGGCCATCTTACCTTTTATGATATGACCATCTATAATACTATAGGAGAGATGGCCCACTTTTAAGAATTACCTACATTGATCAACAAAATATTTACAATAAATTGCACAGACCACCAAATAATGATCACCATGCTCAATTATTAAAATTACAGATCATTAAAAAAACTACGGCCATCTTTCCTCCGTTTACCCTACTACCTACTTCCTGGCCATTGGCGTCAGAAATAAAATTAATGGGGTTCCGACACTTTCAAAACGGTCGTGTCCTTTGAAGTTTAAAATGAAATCTTATTCCTTGGTGAAATCATATTAACTACATCTAAAAACAATCATAAAGTTGAAAAACATAAAGTTTGTGCACATTCTGAGGCGTGGGAAGTAAAATGAAGTTTAATTGCATAACAGATTGAGGCCTTGGTAGATGAAAATATCCCGTTTAAGTTGTACCTAGAAGTTTCTATTGCACATCATTCATTCTGTTTGATTACACTTTTCTTTAAACGACGAATAATAGCCACATGCATATGTATAGGCACTCATGCAGTAGGAAATCTGCTACGGTACTGGTCAGTCGGGAAAGTAACATATTATGGAAAACAAATGTCCAGGTGGATACTAGTATAATCTGCATAGCAAAGCATGTCTTTACCTGTATAGATAGCGTATCTAGGCCCGGATTCGGATAGATATGTCATCATCGTCAACTACAGTCATTAGTACTAGATACAGAATTCCAATTGTGGGCTCAGGTTCCCCCTGAATTGGAAAGTTCTGCGAAAATCGTCAGAACCCATGTTACAAGGGGATCTAGATTTCTAGATTACGTCAACATATCTGAGGTTGATGTTTTACCAAACAGAAAATGGTATTGTTGCTGAGAATAAATGGCTGGAATTATGTGTTTGTTTTTTCAGTCTGAAACACTACTTTTTTTGCACTCCTCTCAACTTTATCTGACAAATAAGTAGGTTGATTGGCCAGCCATGTAAACAAGAAAATGAGCTTTTTTATAAAAACGGATACGTGTGAATACGATACGTCACTGCCCACCCAGTTAGATTTACTCTCGCACCACTGACCAAACCAGGCAAATAGTTTCAAACACAATGAGAAAAAAATATACTTAGTTACCTGGGATATTTTGCGCAGCTCGCTCGTCGTGCAGTGGCTGGAACTAGACGACTTCTTGTTCCACCAAGGGGGCCTGAAGCCCACAACTACGAACAGTACCCCAACGAGGATGTAGGTCAATAATGTGCTGTACTGCATCACATGCTCATCAATCGTGAACATCTGAAAAATAATTTTTGGATTAGAGGCATTGCGTATCAATATCAGGTCATTGACAGTTTTCTGTTTTTAAGTGTTTTGACTTAAAAGTCACGGAAGTTATCCCAAATTACCGTAATCATTTGGGCTGATTCATCTATACATGTCCAACATTTTTGTATGGTACATCGTATCTCATTTTCAACACTTCACAGGTCAAAGTTTGGTAGTGCTAGTTCAAGATACATTGTGTATTATCAGTGTTATCACATTATCTATTACATTCCGTGGCCGGGGAAAATTAAGCCTAACGGGGGGAGCGAAAGTTACCAATACATGGAAATTCCGAAATTAGAATTCTCAATTTTTTTCTTTTTCACGAAAATCAATGCTACAATGTATACTTCATATCCGGGATCGATTACATTCCGTGGCCGGGGCATATTAAGCCTACCAGGGGGAGCGAAGATACAGACCCCAAAACTACAGCGATGGGAAGTGGAAGATGTGGTGGGCAGAGTATAATATAGGCGTCACCCACTCCTGCGATTACGAGGAAGTTGGAGCAGATTTAGTCACTGCTCCACTAAATTATTCGTTGGGACATTGTGTTTCACAAGACCTGAAAATGTCACGAGGCGTCGCCAAAATATTTAGATATATACTAAGTGACATATAAATCTGAACACCCAGTTTAAATGGTATTTTTTAATAAAAGTTGGTGAATGTATTTATCTTACTGTAAATAACAAGTGAAAACATTTTCATCCTTATCAGTTGGACATTCCGGTTTTTATACTGCTTTTTTTAATTCACTAACGCTCTAAAAATGAATATTTAAGCCGCAGTAAAGAATCAGCGTTGGCGGATTTTGGTTCTCGACATCCTTTACGATCGGTCACGATGCCTAGAGTACGGAGACCTGTATGATTTCGTCAACTTAGTGAGTTTGATAGGGGCCGTATAGTGGGACTTCGGGAAGCTGGACTTTCTTTTCGGGCAATTGCAGTTAGAGTGCAAAGAAGTGTAGACACTGTGGTTAGGTGTTGTCAGGCATGGCTTCGAGAAGGCCGTACGCAAAGAGCAAGGGGCACTGGACGCCGCCGTAGAACAACAGACCGTGAAGATCGCCGCCTAAGATTATTGGCCTTAAGGGACCGTTTCTCCACTACCAGGTCCATTGCAAAATGATGGTTTGCAGAACATGGAAGACATATTGGCATGCGAAGTGTTTACCGACCGAAGTTTTGGCTTGTTTTCATACCGGCCACACTGGGTCCTCCCTTTAACTCGAGAACACCGACGTAATCGCCTTGAGTGGTGCAGACAACGGTCACTCTGGGATCAGGAATGGAACAGTATTGTCTTTAGTGACGAGTCTCGATTTGTTTAGTCATGCACGATGGTCGTGCCAGGGTTAGAAGGCGACGTGGTGAAAGGAGGAATCCACAGTTTTTTGTTGAAAGACATATTCATCACACTGTTGGAGTTATGGTTTGGGGTGCTATAGCTTATGGTTCCAGGTCACCTTTAATCTTCATCAGAGGTAACATGAACGCGCAGCGTTATATCCACGAAGTTCTAGAACCCCAGCTTTGACCCTATCTTGACACCCTGGCAGATCCAACTTTCCAACAAGATAATGCCCAACCACATGTTGCAAGAGTCACAATAGACTTCTTTCAACATAATGATGTCACATTGTTACCATGGCCACCAAGATCTCCCGACTTATCCCCAATGAGACGTGTGGGATACGATGGGTAGGAGATTGCTCAATTTGCAACGTCCTCCTCAGACTCTAGAAGCACTTCGAGAGGAGTTGGTGGTTGCCTGATGAGATACCACAGGTGGACATTGACCACCTGATCAGAAGCATGCCTAGGCGCGTTGGAGAATGCGTAGCACATCAGGGTGCATCCACACATTATTAAAGGTCAAAGGGCTTTAAATCAGTGCAATCATTTTGAATTTTATCATTTACTTATTATGCTTCATTAAGTACTTATACAAAATTTTATTAAAATAAAACAATTTAAACTGGGTGTTCGGATTTATATGTCACTTAGTACAGTATAGTTAAACAAGATTAGAAAGTTTCAGATGGTAAAGCTCACAATTTCAGGCAAAAATACGGCGGCCTGGAGTAGCTGCATACCCAACAACTAGCTCCGGAAAGAGTCGGCGTCCTCAAACGTGAGGGCAGATTTTTGTTCTACATGGTAACAAAAAACACTTTTGGGGAAAGTCCACTTATCGGACTATATTTTTCGGATTGCGTCGCACACGCGAGTATGCGACACAATACAGTGTAAAAAAGTGACTTTCCCCAGAATTGCATACGGCGTGGACAGGAAGAATTGGGGAGTCATCTCTAAACTCATAAAATTTGTTTTTCAAGATACTGGAATATCAATAAAAATATATGTGATGTGATATCATCTGTATTCCTAATTGACCTGACTAGAAACCCTAAATGTAAAGATTCTTCCGTCAAACAACGATACAAACCCTATTTTGAAATTTGCATGTGCGTTTTGTATAAGTAACTTTCGCTCCACCTGGTAGGCTTAATATGCCCTGCCCACGGGATATAATCGATAACGGATATGCAGGACATATTGTAGCAGGACATATAGCAGTAGAAGAAAAATTCAGAATTTTAATTTTAAAATTAAAATGCGAACCTTTTCATCTGTGGTCTTAGCTGCATGTACAATAAGGTTATACTTTGTTCATTTTTTCTGTAAAATACTTCTAGATAGTTGCTTTATCATATACAAATGCAATGTAGTTAAAAGATACTAAGGAATCATGATCAAATAAGGACTATTTTGGAATTTATAACCTCTGATATCTTTTTCCTCAAACTTTGACCATGGTGTGGTGAAACAAAAATGTTACTGGGCTAGTGTGTGAAATACGAATTACGCCATATTGTAGAGGAGAAAAAGCGTATGTTATATTAACATAGTTTTTATTTTGAAATCTCATCTCAAAGTCAGGGGTAAAAAAACGATTTTGGATTCATTTTCTTTCGTCTATCATCTGAAATACTAGGAATCACCAAACTAACTATATGACATTTTGTTAGTTACCTGAATGTACAAATGTGCCCCCTTCCAATCTTCGTACCTTTTACCTGTGTCCGAGATGCCAATTGGTGAGAGTAAAATTTGAAACCACCGGTAGTATTGATATCTTGAGAGTAGCGATACTTGAAGTCTCTCTCTATTGACAAAATAAACAAAATACAAACTACTCATCCTTTGAATATCCAATTATTTGAGCATATTTTTCCATTAAAAATAGCAATCATCAGATTATATTAAACGCGGTAATACGGGAACTAGATTAGATATGACAAATAACTGTGGTGACTATTTCCGAGCACAGAGTCGAATCCCATTAAGACTATTGTTATCATAAACACGGATGTTTTAATTGTACGATCTGGACGCCAGCTGTATTTTGGATACTTATACAGGGTGTCCGGTAAATAGTATGACAAAACATAGGGACTATAGCCGAAGGGCAGATCTACAACATACCAGAGAATGACCCTAGTAAAAGTTTCACTGTCTTGAGATATTAATTTTTACCTTTTTCGAAAAATTTCTCTTTTAATCTATCTTTTGTGCTGTGTCTAGAAATAACCGCATATCTGTTTGTGTGTGTGTATCTTTTATAGTCAAATTATCATAGCGGTGTGCGGTGTCAAAGTTATCATAGTTGATCAAATATGATGGCACGGCGTCATTGAAATCAGTTTCAACGGTCGAACTTCTATTAGAATCAGACCCCATAAAACAACAAACTTATGAACAAATTCATAATGTTTGTAAATCTCAAGATTTCCCTCGCTTCAACATCTTTTTTTATTTTTTTTATTTTTTTATTTTCTTTTTTTGATATTCTGGACCGACTCAATCCGCTCCAAAATACGATGATTAGTAGATCCAACCAGTGTTCCATTCACAATAAAAATGCAAAGGTAAAAACGTCATATGAGATCGACTAACGATGCTATACATGATTTTGATCGACCACATGATAGCAGAGATTCATAAAATACAATTTAACATATTGTGTTTTATATCGGATATCTCTCATCTAGTTAGCAGCGTAGCGTTGAACATACGAGGGTTGATCCCTATGCTCAAGCTCTGACCCCCTTCGCTATAATTAATTTGTACGTTTTATGTTTCTACTGATTCCCTACTAACATACAGGGTGTAAGCGTTATGATAGTCATTATTTAAATGGGTGATGAGGGGGTTAAAAGAAGCAAAAAGTTTTATATAACATGGGGATCAAAACGGCATTTTTTAGAGAAAAGCGACTTTAAAGTACAATAAAATCTGACAGCGCCGCAATGCCAGACGCAAATTACGATGGAACGCAGAGTAAATAAAGATGGAGTTTGTTATTTTTGTCTCTTAGGTATTATTTCACTATTTGATAATGTACTCGTATAATGCAAACAATTAAAAAAGACGGACTTACCACTAACTGTCTCAGCGCATCACCTAGTGTGTGAAAGTTTATTGAACGTATTAAAAAATCCACTTATAAATAGGGAACACAATTTGATACATACACTGTTTTTCTTTTAAAACCCACACTGCACTTTTTTTGTATGTAAAGAAGGTGTTCAAAATGTCGTCCTCCACTTTCCACACAAGCTTCATTACGACGAACCCAGTTTCTCCTTACTCTAGGTCCTCGAAGTTGTCCATTTTGTTATTTCAGCCGCATTAAATTTTTTTTCGCGAAGTTGTGCTTCAGTTGTTAGTTATTGGACCAGCTCCATAAACCATACCTTTAAGTTCTCCCCACAACTTCTGTCTCCGTTGTAATGTTATGTTGTCTAAGGTCTGTTCCAAAAGTTCTAATAGGTTATTGGCTAGAAAGCTAAGGTATCCTTCTCCTGACAACTTTGGGGGAAAATCGAAAGGGCCAATTACCTGATCGTCAAGAATACCCGCCCAAACGTTTATTTTAAAACGTTGTTGGAAAGGACC